GAGATACAATAGCACTCCTATAAGCCGGCTCCTTCATGCGTCCAATGGTCAAAGCAATATGGCGACCGGAGGACAGCGCAGCCTCTAGAGACCTTCTCTACCTTGGTGGTACGGCAGGAAACCTCGTACCATCGACGATCTCAAACGCTTCATCACTGACGCATTTCAGGAAGTGGACGCAAAGATCTTTGTGACAGAGTGTGTGGCAGACAGACTTCAGGAATGAGTGAACAATGAGGGCAAACTCTTTCAGCATCCAAGGGATTAACATTTCCACAGTTCATACATACAACTGTATACCTAATTTTGGCACACCTTGTATAAGGCTCTCTTCTCCGATGGTTAAGGTTCCCTGTGATTAGTTGTCACTTATTCTCAAGGGAAGGGCTTAATTTTCAGCCAGAAAATTTAATCGCGCTCTCTTGCAAAAGTACTCATATTGTCTAGAGGGATGAAAATATGATTGAATTACTAGTTACAATTACTACTAGCTCAAATAAAGCAAGATCGACCGCAAAACCGCGAGATCATTCCAAAGTGATTTTTACATGAAGCCAATACACCAAGTGGCTCCCACTAAATGAGGCGCCTTTTCATGGAAATCGAGCAAAAGCTTTGCGCCATAGAGGCTCATTATAACAGTCTGGTTGCATTCTCTAAAAGCAGGTGGTGAACGTGTCCCGAGCAATCGAGGAATAGGCGTCGTAAATAAGTCCCGACCACCTCTTGTTCCCTGTTAAGACAGTAAGGGATAATATACATGTGCGAGTGGAATGCATATGCCCGATTAAGCACCTAGAAGAGAGAAGTGTCAATACACTCCAGCGGAAAATAGCCCACGGGAAGGCGTAATGGGGTGTACTCATGCCCATAGATTCAAGTACACGGCGTTGCGGAGATGTGCATGGCCATTTCCTGATCACCTTCAGTAGGCGAGAAGACACCGGAACTGTAGGTGTCGTGTGGAGGGCCTCAAAAGTGGACTTTTAACGTTAACTTTAAGCCGAAAGAAGAGAAAGACAATTTAGCACGAGCGGTTAATCGGAGGCAAAAGGGGTCCTGGCCTCACTCCACAGACAGGACAAGCCGTCTAAGGAGACGACTGATGACAAATAATAAAACGGTGTTCAAACAACAAGGACAACAGGTATTTAATTAAAGTTAAATTACGGGAAAAGAATAGATATCACAGATGGAGGTCTTGAGTCGGCAGGGCGATCAACGGAAGAAGGTGATTGCAGGCAGGGCGATCAACGGAAGTCCAACAAACACAAAGCTGCAGGCACGGCTAGCAAGAGGGACTGCCCCAGCCGAAGACTCACGACGGAAGACCAGGACAACACGCGAGACAGAAAAACGAAGGACGGCGTGACCGGAAAGGGGGAGGTCACACCCCCAGAAAAACAATGGAGGGCTATGCGGGCCCAACCCTGTCATGGGCAGAACCCATGCAGGGCCGCGAACAAAATAATGTCCCGCGGGAGCCACAAAACTCTATTAAAGTTATATTCGATTTTTAATGTTACTCATACGACACTAAGGTATAGAGCAACTCTTGGAAATAGGCTCCTTTGCTATCGATTTCAGCATTTCTCTGAAATTGAAGACAACAAGCCAGGGGAATATCATAACCGTAATAATCAGTGCTGAAGTATGCAATCGGGAACTGGTGCCGCAGAACTTGCTGGATAACTAGCCCTGTAAAGGGGGGGGGGGGGTAGCCTCATCTTGTTGCCACATAGCTCTATTGCGCCAAGAAAACACCTGGTCGATAGATCTGATCTTTCTTTGGGGGCAGCTGAAGAATGAAGTGCGTGAACAAGCTCCATTGACTTCGGTCCCGGCTCTCATGATGGGAATTCGGCAGTCCGGGCAGTCGCAGTCGTAATAGTCCCAGATTTCCACGAGGGATAGACGAAGATCCGGACGATCCTGAACAGGATATGAGAACCTTCTTTGTCCCCTGTTGCACGAAAGAGAGCATTTACAACTTTTGCAACTTGCTTTTAGATGGTTTGTAACTCGTTTTCGGCGCATTTCCCCTCGTTTTTCAAAACGGAAAGTGAGTATCGGCTTGGTGCATGAAGAAATCCTCATTCTGTACGAACTTTGGACGTACAGGAGATGGCGTTCGGCAGAACGTCCGAATGGAAACGTGATTTTCGTCATCTGGTGTCAGCATTTTGGCATTCCTTCCGGTCGTATTACGTCGTAAATATCTGCGACAAAAAAATTCGCGCTGGAAATAGTGTTAACAGACGTTCGATGGGAAAAGTGAACGAGGCGAGCTTCCGATTCGGATCGAGTGGCCACAAGAACGAAAAAACTCTGAAATGACGAGGATTACGGAACTCGTTCCACGTCTTCAAAAATCTTGTCACACTCGACACGACGAACGACTGGACGAGAGCGATGTATTCCGATATCGGGGAGGTTTAGGACCTGTGATCCCCCTTCATGCGGTTTGTAATTCCTTTTTGGTGCATTTTCTCATTCTTTTGTGCCGATAAAGGAATAGCGCCCGCGCGTTTGGAAATCGGCGTCGGGGACGAGTTTTCGGCACGCAAAACACCCTGTCGGCAGGATTTGCACACGGGAGGATCCGCAAATGTTCGGTATCCAAAGTCTGTATTTCAGCGATTCTCCCCATATATCATCATTCGGCAGACAGAAGACGAATGATCGGCGATTGCAATTCGTACAGGAAATAGTGTTTCGGCAGAACGACGCGATTCGGTACCCAGACGCTCGTTCAGACGGATCGTGGCACGAGAACGAAACGAAAAGAGTGAAATTTAAGCCTCTCCCGCAGTCCTTCGAGTTTTCATCGGTTGGGAAATGAAAATGGGAAAAGATCAAAATTGTGAATCCCCTTATAAGAATGTCCCGTGACGATCGCCACGGAAGAGGCTTTAAATTTGCCCTTGCAATCCACACTACGGCAAGACGTTCCGTGAGTCCACGTTTTCCTCATTCGTTCGCAATCTCTTCGACTTCGTTTCTGCCGTGCCAACGAATTCCGGATTCCGCTTCGGATGTCGAGATTCCCGTCGCTGCATTCCGCGTCGGAGCGTAACGGATAGGAGACAGGATGAGGATCGAAAATTGCATTTTGAGTCACGTGCACCGAATCTCTTTGACCTAAACTCATTTGATCTCGCGACGGTCCTCAATGGGAATCGGCTCGACGAACCCATTGAAGCCCGTAACGAAACCAGATCGGCTTAAAGTTAAACGGATCATGGTGTCACCCTTTTTTGGGTGACACCATCATCCGTTTATGATCCTCAAGAAAGGGTGACTCCCAGGTGTCACTCTTTCTTGCCAAAATCTCATCTCGATGGAGCTATGGATGGATGGATGGATGGATTGATTGATTCCGATTTCCCGAAATTGCTACCGCTATCTTATTGATCGTGTTTGCTCGTTTTGGTAGCTTTATTTTCAGGATTTGTTTCTGTTTCGAAGTGGTTTCCCTCTGTACTCCCTTCCTTCTTCCCCCAAAGTAAAAGTTGAAGTGGAGAAAACTTGCCGAACATCCGAGGAATAGGGAATGAGGGTGGCTTCACCAATCACTTGAGTGTCCTGAGTGTCGCGGCTGTCCTGTTTCTTCATCCCCCCCCCCCCCCCCCCACCCCCCCCCCCCCCCCCCCCCCCCCCCCCCCCCNTTTTGTTTTCCCCCCCCCCCCCCCCCCCCCCCATGCCACTTTCCGATTTTGGCATTCTTCGGTGTTTAACCGCGAAGCCAAGCCGGCAAGACATCTCCGTACGCGATTTCGTCAACTCGTTTTAGAGTTCGGTCGACGTCAGTTAATTGGCATGAATGCAACAACCTGTGATGCTTCATCACGCTCGAGCATTTTGAAGAATGCATCGCGAATCATCGGGCTTCAGCATGCATTCGGCATATGGATCCATCCATCCCGATTTAGAGATGTCGACCGAACGCCCGAACGAGTCCACGAAATTTTCTCCGGGGCGATACGTTCATCGCTTTTGCCTACGTGTGATACACACGTGAGGCGCTTTTAACCTTTGATCAGCCGACGTTCAGGGTGCCCACGACGTCCTGTCACCCCTGCAGCGATTCCTACGAGTCCTCTTCTTTATTCGAGTTAGTTAAAAGTAATCACGAGTGATGGAAGCAATCACACGATCGAAGAGCGTGTTGTTGCCAGTGTCTGGGTTCACGAACGTCCACAAACTGGGAAGGCCATAGAGGAAGTTCTTGAGGATTTCCAGCAACGATTCAACCAATAAGCTCCTCCAAAAAAGACTCTTTTGCTATGAGAGCATAAACTCTTCCCAAGAGGCAACATAAAAGGTGAGCCAAGAACAGGAAGACCCTCGACCAGAGTTCGACTGGGAACACGGCACAATTTATTTTCCATCGTGAGAACGACGGGGCAGAAATTGATCCACTGGACTATTAACGCTCGTGTCATATGTGTAATACATAAATGTAAAAAAGCGTAATAAATAATGTAAAAAATGTACAATATGTATGGGTAAGAAGACATCGTGGCCACCTTGTAGGTCGAGGATTATCTGTCCCGACCCGTGTGGCTTTTCCCCCGTGTCCACATCGAGAATTCGTTCCTCGATCGCGGTGGAATCCAGCGGCAGCAACGACTTCAGACGATCGTTTACGATGTTGAGAATCGAACGCGCCAGTGCGATGCTGGATCCCGCAGACGACGTCTCGCGCATCCTTCCGTTCCGGCGCGCTTCGAACGCAGGTGAGGAAACAGGAACGGTTCACCCTGTTTCGGTTGAACCCGAACCGAGCGCGAGCTCGGTTCCGTACGGAGCAGGTTCCGAACTTTCCGTACGGAGAAAGAATCCGCGTTCGATCCGGTCCACCCGCATCTTCAACGGGGAGATGGTTCTCAGACGCGAACGTCAACTCCTCGTGAAACATTTAGACGAACTTCACGTGGCTTTTTCGTTCCTCAGCCGGTCGATCGGTGAGATTCCTCGTGTAAAAAATACTTCAGCTTTCAGACTTTGAGTCGTCGTTCGGTAGCAAAAAAATCGTCGCCTATGGCCTGTCCTTCGGTGTCAGTCGTTCCAGTCCTTGAATTTTGCAAGTGACACTGCAGAGCTAGAAGCAACTCTTTCGAGATTCCGCATCGATTCTCCTCGTTCGCTCGTCGTCCTCGCTTTCCGACGGTCACTTGACGTCTGAGGTACACACCAGTGCATAGCACCCGGGGCACCCGGTGCACCCAGTGCAGACACTGGGCAATAACTGCTCGAGAAAAGGCTAAAAAGAAAAATCATCCAGATGAAGTCGAGAAATCGATGCCCTTCGAGTGGAAACGTTCGCCATCGACGAACCTCGCTCGATGGCGCAGTTTGCTTTGTGCTCGTTCGACCTCGATCTCGTGATGTTTCGGCGAATTCGAGAGGAAGCGAAAAGCCTCCTCGAGGCGAACCCGAACCCGTCCGACGACGTCCCACCTCCACACGGCAAACGATAAAGGTGAGTTCCGCTCCCTCGAGGGCGTGAACGCTTTGTCACCGGAAGGTCACCCTAGGGGCGAACGCGATCGCCGTGAGACTCGGGTGAGAGTGCTCGCTCTCGAGAGCGAGAAACGCCTCGGGAAGGGATCGCTTCGCTTCTCGGTCCGTCCGCGCGAGGGACACCGCCGAGGAACGGGGAGGAACGGTTCTCCGATCCCGCCCGTCTCGCGAAGGACGCGATGGATGACTCCGAGGGTGTCCGGGGCGCGCGCGCGCGAGAGCGACTCAGGTGGGATCGGGAGACGTTCCCGTCCCTTCTCCTTCTCATCCTGGCTCTTACCGTGTTCACGACCACGATATCGTCCCGCCGTCGGAACGTCTCTCGGCCTCCCGTCGACACCCCAGCTTCCATTCCTCGACCTCGTTCCGTGAGTCTTCGCAGCTTTCGATCGTCCGAGAGAGAGATGCCCGAAATCGCTCGCTCGGGATTTCGACCTCGCACGCACGCGAACGCGAAGCGACGCCTCTCGGACGACCGTCGAAGCGCTTGAGGCGCTCGCGATGAACCGTCTGCCATTCGTCCGAGGGCCTTTTCTCCCCGCGTTTATTATTCGCCGTCCGAAAACGCATCGGAACCCACATACGAAAAGTAACTCGGGTGCCTGAAGGCGGTACATCTCGGATCCTTCGTGGATTCCGATGAAAATCGAGTCGACGATCCGAGGTTCCGAGGAATTTCTTCACACGTATATTTTGATAGGTGGCACGGCAGTTGAAAATTTGCATTAATATGCGCGATGCCACCGATTGCAATTCGAAGGGAGAACGTCTTAGAGGGTGTCGAAAGCGTGGAATTTTCGAAGCGCTCTCGTGCATTCCACGAAGCGGTCGACGGGGACTCGAAGCACGCCTGGAGGAACAGTTCGGATTTCTCTTAAGATTGCATGCTTTTGGGGTGCCAGATCGCTGACCGTTGAGGTTCGCTTCGCCTTTCGGACGACCCCATGGCCGACGGTCCCGTTCCAAACACGCATCGAGAAATTCCACGTCGTCCTCGATCGTCTCAACTTTCATTGGAATCCGTGAAGACGTCACGGACGCGTATCATTTTCCTTTCTCAACTGCTAGTACCGGCGAACTCCAGTCGTCACTTCCGTACCGATTAAAAAAAAATAGCTAGCAGTGACCCAATGCGACGAAGCAACACTGCAAAAAAATCTGGAAAGGTATGATGATCTGAAATCCATAAACAGAGAGAACTAAGGAGAAGAATACCAGATGGACGCATGCCTAAGGCAAAACCAAATTTCAAATCGGAAAATTTGTTGGAAAATAATAATTTGTTCCCATGCTATTTCGCTGGCTCTTCGGTCTTCTACGATGGAACGGGAAGATGTTCAAAAAGGATCATTTAAGTGAGGAAGGTCTGCACGAGGAATCCAAGGAATCCGTATCGGCTTCCATTTCGTCTCTCTTTTCCTCATCCCATCGATACTTCTTTGGACTCTTCTTGCGTTCGTGTTGACGTGCCCGGTCTCATCCCGTCGCATTCACGCGATCCATCTCGCTTTCGCACTTTTCATCCTCGAGCGAAGAACGAGACGGGGTGTCGTGTCCGTCTCGTTCTCCGTCACGCGGATGGCAACGTGAGCGACTTTCCTCCCTCCCACCGTCTCCGCCCGTCGAGCCGTCTTCATCCGTTCCTCTTCTCTTTCTCTCGAGTGGACCTTTCTCCTCGAAACGTTTCCGCATGCATCGCTCTCTCCCCCGTCGAAGAGGGCAAGGAAGAGTAGTTTGAAGGCGACGAGCCTGCCCGCTCGCGTCCGGACGGAACCGATAGTCCGTTTCGGCACGTTCATAAAAGTAGCCAAAGTCTGCTTTTCGACTATGCTCGACTTTATCGAAACCTAAACTTAACCTAAGAGCAGTCTAAAGGTAAAATGCCTGTTCCTCGGCCAGATTCGTCCTAACATTTCGTCTCAAGGGGGGGAATATTTTTAGCCTGGTCTGACCCAGTCTTAATGTTGTCTAAATATTGGGACGAAGGGGAAAAACTCTCATTAATGTTTCTTCGATTCCACGTCCGAGTCCAAAATCAGGGCGCGCAAACGACAGAGAATATTCGTGCAGTATGAGCCGTGATGTAAGTCTTTAATGGTTTTCACTTCGATCCACTGTTTCTTGGTGTCTTTTTGCTCTTTCACCCGATGCCTCAGGGTTACAGCGAAAACTAGTCACAGCTCCCTTTCGACTTGCGGAAAAGACTGTTTGCCTCATTTTCACTGGCATAGGAGGCGAGTGAGAATGCGTAGTCGATACTTCGTCTCTGGTCCTCCCATGTCACCTTGTCCGGAGGGGTAGGGAACGCATCGTCACGGTTTACCGGGAGCTCGTTATCGAGTTTTCAATCTTGCCTTCTCGATACGAACCCACGCGAACGAATCGAACCCCCCTCGCCGGCATATATTTCACTTAATGGTGCCGCGATGCAGATGACATGAATGAACCTTCAGACTGAGCTTAGATTGAGATTTGATACAGGCGAGGTGAGATAAAATGAACGATTGTAGATGTTCTGGATAAAGCATGTTCTGTGTTCACTATTTCCCAACCCTCCAAGAGAGAGGGAGGTAGTGGAACCAAAGGGGAGGGGTGGTGGTAATAGGGGCGAGGTTTCACGAAGGGGTGTGAAATCCTCGGAAAGCCTCCTCCCCCTCTTTCAGGTTGCATCGCATTTTATGGATATCCCCTCCTCCCGTTCTGATGGGTAATTCCGGTTTTATCCCCCACCGACCCCCTCCCCTCTACTCTGTGTGTGCGTTAAATCTGCATTGAGGTGAAGAAGATTCCCTTGGTTGCACTAACGATGTTTTCTGGTCAAGGTGAAGGTTTAGATTTAGATACTTTATAGATTTAAATTAAGCTAAAGTTTAGCAATAGCGAGGGACAGGCACCATGTCTCAAAACACCTTCCCTTTGAATAGAATCGTCTCAACTGAATCGATTTATCGACAAAACAATAACCGTCAATATCCAATTGGCGATTCGACTCGATTGCCTGTTGCCAATTCGATTTAGATCGAATTCAAGTCGAATCACGTTCGATGCAGATTATATCTATTTTTTATGCTCCACGTACCTTTTAGGGATTCAAGGCAGTTCAAAAACTCGCATTTACCTCATTTATGATGTTGTGATGCTTGGTGAAATTTGAAGAGTGGTGCTGATTGATATTACGATGGTTGGAACGCCGAAGACTTGCATGGCAATCACGTGGACAGGTCTCGAAGCTTCATGGATTCCGGTCGGAACCGGACGAAGGGGTAAGCTAGGGGTAAGCAAGCCGGGCAAGCTCAGTCCAGTAGTGGACCTCCTTTCTGTTAAGGGAACCATCATTTTGTCACTTATTGGAACAAAGTGCCATTTCTTTCCGGTGCTTGACTGTCGAAAATCAAAATTTTCAGTTAGATTAGGTAAACACGGTCAAAAGGTGGCCAAGAAATGATGGGAGGATGGAGGTTTGTGCGTGGTTAGACTCATCCGCCACGAAGCCTTGTAAGAGAACTGAGAACTCTGGTTGTTGACGCGGTACCGCGCCCAAGGCCAAGGTCGTCCGCGCATGCGCATTCATGCCCACATCCATCGAGGCTCAGGAGTACTCATATCTTCCCCGCCGTGACCAAATTTCAAATCCAAAATTCTCGATAATAAGCCCAATTATGGTGCAAATTCGCCACATGAACTCGGCCCGTATCTTCTCCACGTCTACCAGCTTGCCAATTTTCGCAGCGACCGGGCCAATATTTTCTTACTTATCGTTGGACAACCAAAGAGTGAAAACAGAGACACACGGACAGGACGGGACCATAGAGACAGAGACTCTTTCCTTTTAGGAAAGGAAGCCGACTAAAAGTAGAAAAGTAGTCGTCCCGGTAAAAAGCACAGGTACTAAGTCAGAAAGAATTAAGAAAAAGCTGTCCTTGAATGCCTGAAGATTAGAGGGAAGATGAGATGCCTCGGTTGGAAGGAGCCACGAAATCCTTCCTGCTTCCATTCCCTGTAGGTCCCGGCCAACGTAAACAGTCATCGCATCGCAACTGGAAGAAGGAAATCACTTCATCGACGATCTCAGACCGGTCCGTCATCGAGAGAACCCGTCTCCGCTCCAAAAATACTCTCTCTCTCTACACACACACGGCGCAAAGATGGAAGCGGGAGATGGGGTAACGTGTTCCCCTCGCGGTCTGCCGGCAACCGCCAACCATCGAATTTCCATGCACCGACGGAGGCACGCAATCGAGTTCGCTTCTTGGAACGGTGATCCGGACCGACGATCGAGCCGATCATTTAAAGAGTCGGACTCGGACGGAAGACGATCCTCCGGACGATGTACGCGTCTCGTTTCCCCGAAACCGACCATCTGGTGAAGCGCGAATCGATTCGCGCTGGCGTCCGTTGCGATCCGGTCGAAGAAACCTCTCGAAAATGCACGAACATCGTTATCGAATTACATCGTTACGGGTTTAAAAATGGTCACCGTTAGCCATCGCCCACGAATTTCACAAATTGTAGCGATTTTCTGGCTATTTTCTGGCTATGTACGTTGCGTACCCCACGAGATCGTAGATGTGACAGGCCTGTGTCGAGCGATATTACGATTTCGTTCGATCCATCACGAAGAGAATGCATCAAAGGCAAACGAATACCGTCGACTCGGATCGGGATGCGAAAAGATCCCAGGGATTTTCGGTGCACATATGGTTTCGCAGAGCGGCGAGACGGAGCGGAACGAAAAGATATCGGAAGAAATTCCCGTTATCGCTTCCAAATGCTGCCATGTCGTCGATGCCGCCGATGCAGCCTCTCGTAATACCAGGAATCCCATCCGTTCCAGACGCGGGAGTAAGAAGAATTTGGCAACAAAGGGAGGGAAGAAGGAAGAATGTAAATAATTTGAATAAGCCAGATCTCGGCGGAGGGAGACAGACCCCCTTCGCCCTGTTTGTATATGTTTGACTGCATGGATTCTGGCTCGGGGTGATCCGTCTTCGTCTTGCATCTTCTTCCTATACACCATCTCGGTTCGTTGCCATAGACGGTATCGTTCCCTACATCTTCCATCGACCGCAAATGGGATCGGGAAGAGCGACGTCCGCAGTATCTTGCAAGTCTCGACACGGACTACCGCTTACGTGATGCGAGCGAAAAGTCATGTGGGGCTCGTACGTTGGCCTCTAACCGACGCGAGAGAAGCATGACGGGGATCGGAGACGAGAAACACGATCGAGGAGGGTGAGGCTCCACGGGTCACGGGGTACCACGGGGTCAGGCCGTCAACAGTTCTCCCGGCACGGTTCCATTTCCTGTCGTCAGCAATGTATCTTCCTGCCGCGGTGCACTCAGAGAAATAGGTACATCCAAATAATACATTTTGGTCAATTTTCGAATTTCGATTTTTTTTTTCGAGAGGAAAAGGCAGCAACAGGCACCAGTTTATTTTCAGTGGTGGCATCTATACAGTGATACCTACACTCACGACTAGGGGAGGCCTTTCATGTTTTCATATTTCCTCGTACC